AGTAATGATAATAATTATGATAATTTTATGATGAGAATTATTTTATTATTTCATTTTTTAGAGTTCTGTTGTGATTTATTTAGAATTTTATTTATGATAATTTAGAATTTTATTATGATAATTTTATGGGAGTTGTAATTATGAGGATTTTGTTTTTAGTTACTTTATCTCGATCCTCATTTCTGTCAGAACTTTGTCGATTTGGGCCGAACTGAAGCAGGAAAAGGCGATGGTGATGATGAGGTACGGTGGCATATTTTGCTTTTAAAATGATTAACAGTGTTGTAAAGCGTCGCTGTTTGTTTTGCTGTAAAACCATTCGAAATTATTTAAAATTTATGGATTTTTAACGCCTGAAACTGCTGCAAATTAATGGCTTGAACCCTCATGTACGAATTGGTGCAAAGTTGCCATCGGAACGAACGAATGGGTCGAAGATAGGCTGATTTCTCTGTCGCCGAAGTTTTACAGGAGAACCACTAAATGGCATTAATCGTGTTTTTTACTAGTTTTTTTTTTTGCAACCCGTGAGTTTTTTGCAGGATTATGATGAAGAGAGTGTTTTCGATGATAACACGTACCACTGCCCCTATATTTTGAGTATGCCATACGAAAAAGTGGATCCATCACTGGCGCTTTCATTCATCTGTCCCACCGAGAAAGACTACAACGATTTGATAGAGCAACTACAAACGGTAAATCATTTTTTTGATTTTCAGAAATTTTTTTTCTTAGGTACTTTGCAATGAAAATACCGAGAATATCAAGACTCTCTGGGCTGTTAGCGTGGATATCCCATGTTAGTAATGTCGTCGGCATATTATCGCAACAGAGTAGGCGCTATTTTGCCGGTTCCTTCATTTCCGGTCTGCATACCTCCAGTTAGTACCCACCATCTGTTCGACGTATTTTTGTCACTTCAGTGAAAATAACTTTTTTTTTCAAAAAAAGTTGCCTTTAGAGCAGTTTTTCTTAGCGACCCTTTCGAGCCAGCCTACGATAGCAGATCGACTACCGCGGAACGGGGATTGCTAGGAATCTTAAGTGCTAAACGGATATCGCACCGGTAGAGATTGGATTTCTCAGTATGCACTTACTACATCTGTGAGTCACTATCGAGGGATATATTTAGAAGTGGTTTGCTCCGTGAATGAAACAGAATATGTGTGTGCGTGTGTGTGTGTGTGTGCGCGCGCGTTTGTGTGTATGTGTATGTATGTGTATATGTATGTATGTGTGTGTGTGTGTGTGTGTGTGTGTGTGTGTTGGGCACATCATGAAGTAGTGGGAGCAGACAATTGTTTGATAAGGGTTGAAGGACAGAGCAATGTTAGCAGTGACGAATTAATCATCAGCAAGAAGTATTCATAATTCTTGAAATGGTAGGTTGTCGATATTATTATAAGTAAAGAATATTGCTCTCCTTGCTGATAACCGATGGTCATCATCTATCATGGAATGGTACTTAAGGAAAATTTCGACCAGTAAGAAAGCCTTCGAAGGCAATTTTCGTTTAAAAAATTTGCATTTTCCTCTAAAACTTTGCCGTCTATGCATTTTTTTTAGCTGTTTAGAAAAGTTTTCGAGTTTACTCATTTCTCTGTTTCTTTTTCAGCGTTTGTTACCCGCTTCAAAGCCGCCACTCTTTGAACTGCTTGAAACGAGGCCAAAAAATTTCCCTCCGTTTGTACCATATACTGGTGAAGTAGCGCATATACGAGGTAAGCATTTCACAAAACGCAGTCTTTTCACAATTCTAATTCTATTTTTTTTAACTTTTCTAGTGTTTTTGCTTGTGATGTAATAATTTTCCAAAATAAGGATGCGATTCTAAGCTCGTTTCCTGGAAAAAATCTTTTGTCAGATTGCAATTCTTTTGGAAAAAATGATTTTTTTTTCCAGATTACACACATATTGGTGATGCGGTTGACAGTTACGATGAATTTGAAATACTTAGTGAATAGAAATCTAATATTGCCCCTGTACAGTTCGTAACTGTTCAAATTGGCTCACGCTATGGCTACAAAGCCTGTATTTCATTA